ATTGTTCATTGGACCAATTTTAATGAATTTTTTATTAATACCAATGAATACTTTTATTGTATTTACGTACATTTTTGGTTCAGTGCGATCGAGTTCTCGTAACGAAGCAGCTTATTACAGTGGAACGTTCAGCACACAGTAGGTACAAGCCTATTTAGAAGAACAAAGAAAAATGGAAACTGAAAAAAAAGAAAAGAAGATCAGAAAAAGGAAGAAAAGAAAGTGCAGGAACAATTAATGAAAGACCAAATAAAAAGGAGAAATAATATTTCTGTACTTCAGACTGAATATGAGGAAGTGAAACAGGAAAATGTAAAGACTAGGGAAAAATTACTCGAAGAGGCAATTAATAGGCTTCAAAATGCTCTAAAGAAAAATGACTTTGAAGAAATGAAAATTGCTCACGGATTGCTTCAAGGGGCTCAGATAATGAAATCAAATTTAGACAATTCTGAGGTTGAGCCACTACGTACAAAACTAGAGAAACATAAATCTACTCTTATAACTAGTTTTTTTTTTAAAGGTTCGAATTGAGAGTAGTGACCTAGAATTATATTCTAGAATATACTAGATTTTTCGTACCTAGCATATAAAATACATATTTTATTGTTCTTAAGTTACTTTAAGTAAAAAGTTCCTTTGTAATGTGATTTACACCAAAGAATAAGTTAAAGTCTTTCCTTTTTGCAGAATATATATTAAATTGTTTTCTTTTATGTGTATTTTTTAAGTATTTAAAATAATATATGTATTTAAAATAATAATAATAACTACCATGTATTTTTTTTAATTATGGTCACTTTTTGTCACTTTTTAGTCACATTCTTCTTAATAAAAAAAAGTCACTTTTTCCTCTTTTTTCTCTCTGAACATCGCTAGCAGTCCTGATATTTTCTTCTTTCTATTTGCCTCGTATCTTTCCCATATTTACTTGAAACAAAACACAGTCGTCAGGAACCAAGTCTCGCTGATTACTTACAGGCTATATTGTTATTGTATACCACCCGGCACATCATTGTTCGATACCATCCGAATGATGCGCAACGAAAAAAAAAAAATATATATATACAGGGTGATCCAGATTATCCGCACGGGACGGCACATACATATTCTTCATGAAAAAGTGAGTCGAAAATGTCAATTTTCACACAAAAAGTCAATTGTCACACAAAAAGTGTATCAAACTAACTTCTAGTCGATAAAAATAAAAAAAATGAATTATTCTGAAATTAAATTTTAACAAAAATTATTTTAAATATATGACTTGTGCGATAAACATCTTTCATATATGGCTGTATGCTCCTTCTTATTTATATTATATGTTCTGAAATTTTTTATGTCTTAGTTGAAAATAATTGCATTATCAAATAACATTAATTTTCAAAATGTCTAATGCAAAATTGTTACAATAACAATGCGCCATATTGTCCGCTGCGCCGCGTTGCCTCATTCTCCCAATAAATGCTGTTTATATTATGTAACCAAATTGATGAATATTAAAAACGAAATTCTATTTACATTTAATAGATATGACTGATTGGTGAAATTAACTTTACCGGCGTAAATAATAGCTACATAACAAAATGTACAAAAACTCACAAATGACAGTCTATGTTCTCAATATGGAGCAAGGCTCTCACGTGCAAGAGAAGTTGCTTGGCAAATGCGGTTGGGTTTTTTATTGTATCACATCTGAAGGTACGACCTTTAGGCGGTTATGATTCGTTAACTTTAAATGCTTATAATTCAAAACTATTAAAGCCTCGACATTCTGATACTAGAATTTTCATCTTAAATTGACCTGAAAAGTCTATTCTTAAGCGTTATTACCCAGTAAACACAAATACATCTCAAACTCGTAACTCATACATAATCTTAATTTTTTTGATTGTAACAGTGATGTCAAAAGTTACGTGAATTTGTGGAGAATGTTCTCAAATTTGTCGTCCCATTTTACCTATAGTAGTTACATAACAGTGACATGATTTAAATATGAAACGGCGATATGATTGACATATAACAATTATATATTGAGATGAAATGCATATATATCATTTATGCAAAATTTGTCACTGTGACATCACAAATGGGTGAAATTGTTATTTATTTGTTACTTATTGACATCGACTCAATTTCTTTGATTTTAAGAAATTTTTTGGTTATTTCTTGTTGTTAGAATTAAAAAAATAATTTTGCAACTCTTTTTTTAAATAAAGAAAATATATTTTTTATAT